GTTATCATTAAAAAAACCTAAGCTTAGTTATTAAAAGTAAGTTTTCCCAAGTTGGTATTGAAAATGAAACGAATTGATCAAAGCACATACCCCAAAGGAAAGCGTAAACTGGACACATCTGTTACTTCAAGTAAAAATTTGTCTTTTTAAACTTATTACTTGTAAATTGTGAAAGATAAAATGCTGAAATATTCTATATATATACTTATGGACGACTATTGATGTAAAGAAAAATCAGCCTCGCCCACACAATGCTATAAGTGATTACATTTTTATTTTCTTCATTTTTCTTACGTTTTATGCTTATTGTTACTTATCGTGTGTACTACTACTTGTACTTATATCTATTACATAAAGTAAGCAAGATAGAATATGAATATTATTCTGTACATTCCTCACATGAAGATATTAAAAATGTGTTAAATCTAAAATGGGTATAATGGAGCCCTGCAGTATACCCAATTGGATCTCAAATTAGAGGACTTGGGGAGTAGAGTGCGACAAGCTAAGTGGACGTCAACATGTCCGGCGGAATGATTTTGTCCCCGCAATCCTGTTGATGTTAGCACCAAATAAAAGGACTTGAAGAGTAGATATAGGTGGGTTCACGGTGATAGATATAAAAGACGCGGTCGCAAACGAGTGTGAGAAGAAGGAAATTACTAAAAAATGAAAAAAAAGCAAGAGCCGAATATTATATACTTATAACATATATATATATATATATGTAACATTAGTTGATGGACAAATTAAATGCAATCATTGGAGCCAATAAAAATTAACTTCCCCCTTTCAACTAAAGCCGAAGAAAATCCGAGTGGGCATTCTTATGATTAAGTGAGCGCTTAGAAATCGATTTAATTAATTTAAAATTCGTTTATAGGAACCTGAAACGTAACTTTATCGGATTTTTGGGTATACAAGTTAAGTTCCAACAATCTGGATTATACAATAAGTTACGTTAAGTTTTAAGGTCATATTCCCAAGCTCGACTTTGAGGAACAAAAAATTTAACCTGTAAATGAATATGGACTCTTACAAAAACAGCTCTGCGGTCCGCTTTATATCCCTGAACCTAACATGGAAATCAATATTGCTTCCAAATTAAAAATATTTCAAATTTTACATGTAATGTTACATGCATGCAAGTTAAAGTGTGTTAAAGACATAATTTTTTTATATCAATGACATATATTGAAGTGACCAAATGTTAGATTTTTTGCGACAACATTTTCGATGCACTATTAATGAATGATAGCAAATTTCATTGACCGCACACACAAATAACTATAGTGTCTTCATTAAATAATATATATATATATATATATATATATATATATATACATATGCATATATATACATATGCCCTTATGAGCATGTTAGTATACATATGTGTTCTCATACTTACATAGAAAATTCAATAATACAATTTGCAAGCAACATTTGACGCCGACTCTCCTCTAGACACTTTGGGAAAATTTGGAAACAATTGGTATTAGAGCGCGTCAACCCGTTTGCACTGTTAACCCTAATATAATAAATGATTACTTTCTAGAGGCTGATTACGTGGCTGGCGATTGTTCCTTTATAAAGATTCAGGGCTTACTCTATAGGCAAGGTGATGCTTTTCAGTGGAAAGCCTTTACTATGGACGACGTTTAGAAAGCTGTTTATGGCACTAAATCTAATGCTGTTGGTTACGATATGTTGGCTGTGATCTCCTCATTGACTCATACATTGAATCATATAATCACATCCTGTGCTTTTTCAAACTGTCGGAAAATGCCGATCATAACGCCTATTGCGAAAGGGGCTGCTCCAGTTTCGGCAGCTGATCATCGACTTATCAGTATTCTTCTTGTTCTATCGAATGTTTTTGAGCAGTTAGTAAATGATCAGACTACGTTATACGTACGTTCCAGGAATTTAATTTCTGAAATCCAGTCAGGTTATTAGCAGAGTTACAGCTGGGACAGCGTACGTCAAAAGGAACTTGACGACCCTGATTATGATTAATTTTTCTAGGGCATTCGATACTGTCAATAATAATTTACTCTTAAAAAGACAAAGTCCCTACATTTAATAAGCCGGAAAGGCAACTACAGGCTGAATGGAGTGGTAGTGAGTTACTTACAGGACGGTATTCTATAGAGGCCTGGTAATTGAGGCGAATAAATATGGGAATAAGAACCGGCATATCTTCGACACTTTCAAATTCGAATTGTTAGCTTTTGAAATGAAACATATATAGAGTAAACGAAAACAGCGAAAGCCACACGCAACTTTCAGCCACATGGTTCCCAAGGTATGCCTTCCAGATGAGAACTAGTTAACTAAAAGATTGACAATCAATGGTCAAGTCATTTTTTGATGTCTGGCGCACAATGCACAATGTAATGCATTTATTATGTTCATCGGTTTAGAAAATCGGGTTATTAGTTATAAGAAAAATTCATTTACGCGATGCGTAAACTCATCGAATAAGGTGCAAATAAATCCGATAATAAATTCGAAGAAAAGATGAAAACGAAAAAAATGGGACTTCTTAAAGTAGTTGTAAAAATTTTGAATTGAATAAAATTAATAAACTAATTTCTCTCCCAGGCCACGAGGAGAATTCCCTTGCATTTTGGAAAACAAATTACCACAAAAATTTTCGCTTCCGGAGCTCGACACGCTTGCTTTTGTAGTGAGAGTTCTGAAACGTAGTAAGACCAAACACAAATTTTCGTTTTTTAATCGCTTAGGTATCAAACATCGAAATATTTCAAAACTCATTCGTTTATAATTTCGTACCTCGGAGTCCAATATAATATACTCTTGCAATATTTACGTAAGGGGAAACATATATTGCATAAAATATAGATAAAATAATTAACAAATGTTAAACGCAAGAGATAGAGAGACCGGGCTTGAGGGTATCAAAATCTCTGGTTCCGCTTCAATTATAATGAATTAAAACACGAATTCAATAGGCATTTGATTTAAGATTAACTATTTTCAATTAAAACACCCGTGTATAAAGTGAAATTGCGTATGCATATGTGTATAGAAGAACTTGGTGCGAGGTAAAACACTTGTTTAATAAAAAGCCAATTACACGTATACTTTGCGTATATATAAAAACACGAACTTATGCAAAATATGTTTTAACGCATTAAATTGGAAAATTCGAAGTTAACTCGTTGATCGTGGGATCGTGGATATGCAACTGGAAAGGTTAAGCCAAGTAAGCAAAAATGCAATTTGAAAAGAATCACGAACTCTATCTCTCTCTTTCTCTTCCGATTTTAGAATTTATAAGTGAGAATTGCAAAGACTTTACATCGTTTCATATAAACAAAAAGTAGTTCTGGTTTTACGAATACAGTAAAACCAATATGAGCAGAGATAAGGAAATAACAAGATGGTCTAACAGTTTGTAAAAAGTTCAAACTAGGAGATTATTACGGAAGTTTTGTGCATCTGTTTTAAAAGTCAATCGGCTGTAAGTTTATGTTATCGGAATTTGATGTGTAAATAAACAAACATGTAAACAAATTAAAATATCACACCAATTTATTTCATTCTTCCATTCCCTTTTCTATTAATCATACATGCAACCCTGCGCCAACACTGTACAAATTTAATTATAAAAATATATATGGTGCGTAGTTAATATACCCAGTAAAATAAAATTTTTTTTATAATCCACAATAAGCAGATCAAAGTAACAAACTGTAACGCATAGTTTAAAATACGAAGTATTTTATATCGCAAAAATGTGCTTTTGGTGGCCTCGATTGGTTCATTAAAAATAAACTGCTTAGCGCCGCGAAAACCGACTCTTGTATATTCTTTATCAACAGAAAAGTCAAGCCTTAGATTTAGTTTATTTCTGCAATGTTTTGTTAAGTGTTAAAATGTTGCAAGAAAATTTGAATAAGAAGCTTACTTGTCCTCCTGGGTTATCAGAGCAGACAAATTCTTATATTTATCGTTTTCTACCATCGATTCGTTATTCATAAATTTGTGAAGAATTTTATTAACAAAAAAAATTCGCCTTTGGAGTCTTACCAATCTGTAAAGAAAAAGAACACACTAATAGTAATTCTCTTTTGTTTATATTTACGTTTATGTAAATTGCAAGATCAAGAAAACGGTAAGGCTCGGCTATCGTTTAATTTTCGCTATTCCCGAAATTAAAGGATCTACACGATTACAAATTCAAAACCAAAATATTTGCAAAGACTCTTCTATCTGACTGTTGGTCGACATTCGGACAATCGGGCTCTATCAATACACCCTTGAGAAACTCAATCGATCACTTTACAATTCTTCGCAATGTAGAGCTCACTTTGTGAGTGTTTAATTGCCTCTTCTTAGTACTAAGGAATATATTCGCCGCAATTACCTCAAGGCACATGCTAAAAATAATGTTTTTTTTAAAAAGGTACGTGGTACCTTTGGCAATTAATGGACTGAATACCAATGAAAGTATATTTTCTATATTAACGGCATTACATGCAATAAAAAGAGAAAAGGTCTCAACCGTGAGATAGCCACCACAACGTAGCGCGCTAGTTAAGTGGAAACGCATAAGAGATAGAGTTCAGCCCGAAATCGATTAATTTTGAAATAAAATGCGGACTTTTCGGGGATTTAGGAAACACGTATTCTCTAAGTAGATGGAAAAAATGAGCACTTTGAGTAAATGAGAAAAACCAGTGGGTATGCAATAATGCAGAAAACCACGGTTAGTGTTACGACTCCTTTATCAATCGATTCGCGTTCACTCCGTGTTCTTCCGATGCATCATTTATTCCCAGAGTTTGAAAACAAGGATGACGGCAATTAGACAGCAAATTGTTGCTAATCCAAATCTGTCTGGAAGTGAATTTAGGACAATCTGTGATTCTTTCCTTAACCCATTAAGGGGAGGAATCACTCTGCAAGCCACGACAACTTTTCCTTTCTCTATTCACAATTTAGTCCATTTGTCTGAATTCCGTAAGTGTTTTAGCAATTAATTCAATTAATTGGTACCTCGCTGATTGCCGCAACATAAAAGAAGAGTAAGCAGTGCTTCATATGGCTTTTGATATCATTTTCGCTGTGCTTTTTTGTGCAATGTATGTAGATAGTATGTAGGTATTATTATTATTATTATTATTATTAATTTCGCCAGATAAATAAATTCTAAGACTAAACTCTTAAAAGCGCTAGCATCTAAGGCTATCGGCTTTTATTAAAAACTCTACCGCAATTGAGATTCGAACCCACGACCATAGACTTGCTAGTCGAGTTTCGTCGCTTTCGGCTACTCAGGCGGAGTATGTAGGTAACGGCTACACAAAGGAGAATATTTCGGTTGCTATGGCATATATGAACTGCACGTCGACTGTATGTGTGTAGGTATGTGTGATTGGATTATATGATATACACTACATGTGAGTGGAAATGCTTGTTATTACAATAAA